AATTCAATATCTAAAGCAAGACAACTTAAATTATAAATACAAACTATAAAGTCATCAACATCAAAATATATCCATTCCAACATTACAATTCATCAAACATCGAAATACTACCTCACTGTTTCTTTTTTTTTTATTTTTTTTTTATTTCATCAAGATTTTTTTTTTTAATTTCAGAATCGGTTCGACCGGTCGAACCGCTACCTGTTCACCGGTTTTGAACCGGTTCGATACCGGTTCTTGCTCCCAGCGGCCCAAACATGCAAACCGGACCGGTACTAGGTTCGGTTCCCGGTCCAACCGGTCGATCCGATCCGGTTTTGATAACGTTGGAAATATGTGATTTTTTATGCTTTCATATGTTGCTTCCAAAATTAAACTAAACTCTAGTTAACAAAAAAACCATAAAAAACCATTTTTTTTTAATAAATAAGCACGACCAACATTGTTGCACTGAATTATTTAAAGACTAGTTTGGTACTACTTTCTAATTTTCTTTTTATCTTGGAGTTCAGTTCGTAGATATAATTTTTTTAGGTAAACGAATGTGTGGTTTTGTGTTCAATTTTTCTCTTTCTTCGCGGAAGGAAAAAAAAACACCCCAAATCCAAAAACCCTTTCTTTCAATTCTCGGCGCGCCACTTCCTGCCGCTGCACGCTCCGCTCCCCCTCGAGGATTGCCGACACTGGGGCAGTCCTATCTTTCTGCCTGGGTTCGATTCCAACCTCTGGCGTGATGCTCTCCTTCTGTGGGCGGCGTAGCCGGGCTTGGCTGTGAGCATGAGAGGACGGATCAGGTTGCCGACTCTGTTTGTCGACCTCTTGGCGGTCGGAGCTTGGGTTGATATTTTGTTTTCGTCCCTTGGACGTCGTTGGTGTTTCTGGGTGGGTACCGACGGTGTCCTCCGGCGGTGGCAAATTTATTGTTTGGTCGAAATTGGTGTGGGCCGCCGGTGTGTGTTAAGGAGGAGATGGGTGTCAACCTTCGGGTGTTAATGTCTGAAAGTGGTCCGTTAGGAAGGAGGTCTCAGTTTCTGTCGATTTAGAGTGAGTTAGCCTAAGCCTGATAAATCATGGAGTTTGAAGTTTCTTGTTTCGGGTCGGGGCCGTGTGCTGGTCTTTTTTGGATTGTCAACAATTGCTCTTCTTGCGGAAGAGGGTGAGTGGTGTTGGACGGTTGTGATGTGGGCTTTAATGTATTGTTTGGGTGTGTGTTGTGGTTGTCTGGTTGATATCCGAGTTGAACCATGAGAAATCAAGAAATGAAAAATGCCAACAAGGCGCCCGACAGGATCACCACCGAGTAAGTTAATTATGCAATCCGAACACCGACGACATCAACATCAGGTCGGTATCCGGATGGCATGAAGTCCGAACTGGGCAAAGAATAAAACTACTAGGAACATTGCGTAGAGCAGATTCTGAGGTCGGAACCTTGGCACTGGGAGGACGAAGTCGACCTTCCTAAGTGCATAACACAGAAAGGAGACCTATAAGATCTGAAGATGGAGACATATAACTTGTCGAGAAAGTTCGGTCTAGTGAACCGTGAAGATCGGACTTTGGCGTGCGCTCAGAATCAGAAAATAATATAACATTGCCACTTGTCTACTGATGATTGCTGACGAGACACGCCAACCTAGTCTGCAGTCCTACTGAACATAGTGTTGTAGGGCGGTCTGTCAGCATTAAATATATTCCCATGTGTGCATTTAATGCCTGACAGATAATCATTAATTTAACCTCAAATCTCATTTCATGTCTGTTAGAATGGCACCAAACCACTGTCATACCTAGTTACTACACGAAGTGACGGGGTGAACATTAACTAAAGAGTACCAGTCCTGCAATAGTATAAATAGGCAACTACCCTCATTTATTGAAGATGATTTAAAAATCTATCAACTCTTTCTCTCTCTCTCTCTCTCTCTCTCTACATTTACTCTTTCTACTCTACTTTGTGATAAGGCGCTGTAATTTATGAAGTATGAGTGAAAAGCCGACCTCATCTCCAAAGGTCGACCTCACCAATAAAGCAATAAAACTAATTTTCTCGTAAATCTTTTCCGATTTTCGTACTTATCAACCATAAATCTTGATTTAACCATTGACCGATTTTCGATCGACAACGATTTTCGTACTTATCAACCATAAATCTTGATTTAACCGTTGACCGATTTTCGATCGGCAACCTGTCTTTTGTGTTTTTCCCCTTTAAAAATGCCGCACACTTTATTCACAATAGGATTTTTTTCTCTCAAAGTCAATTCATGTAAAATTATTGTGGTCTTTTGGTAGCTTTGCACGTTTATAAAAAGTTAGAAAAAAAAAAATCAATCTGCATTTAAAATCTATAACTCAACACCATTATTCTCATTATTATCAATATAATTAAATAGTATCATTCAATAATGTATTCACATCACATCAACTTTAATTCACTATTCATTTACTCACATAATTTTAGTTATCTATTATTTCTAATCATTTCCAATCATTTATCTCTTACTTTTACATCAAATTAATTTTAGTCATTTTATTTTAAATATTATTTAAATACATTCTTAACATCGCACGAATAACTAATCATATTAACTTTTTTCAAATAAACTCTACTTAACACAAAAAAATCATAAAAAACCAGTTCTTTTCTATTTTTTTTTTCATTTTTAAAACAAGCACGACCTACATTGTTGCACTGAATCATTCAAAGTCTAATTTTCTTTTTATCTTGAAGTTCAGTTCGTAGATATAATTTTTTAGGTAAATGAATGTCCGGGTGGTTTTCGTTCAACCTTTCTCTTTCTTTTCTGAAGGAAAAGAACACCTCAAAACCCAAAAACCCTTTCTTTCAATTTCCGACGCAACTCTTCCTGCCGCCGTACGCTCCACTCCCCTACGAGGATTGTCGACACTGGGGTAGTCCCTATCTTCTGCTTGGGTTTGATTTCAACTTCCGGCGTGATGCTCTCCTTCTGTGGGCGGTGTAGCTGGGCTTGGTCGTGAGCATGGGGGACGGATCAGGTTGTCGACTCTTTTCGTCGACCTCTTAGCGATCGGAGCTTGGGTTGGTTTTCTGTTTGCTTCCCTTAGACGTCGTCGGTGTTTCTGGGTAGGTATCGACGGTGTCCTTCGGTGTGGCAAATCTCTTCTTTGGTCGAAATTGGCTGGGCCCGTCGGTGTGTGTTGGGAGAGGATATGGATGTCGGCCTCCAGGTGTCAATTTCTGAAGGTGGTCCATTTATAAGGAGGTCTCAGTTTCTGTCGATTCAGAGTGAGTTAACCTAAGCCTGATGAGTTATGAAGCTTGAAGTTTCTTTTTTTGGGTTGCGACCGTGTTCCCATGTATTTCTTTGATTGTCAACAATTGTTCTTCTTGCAGAAGAGGGTGAGTGATGTTGAATGGTTGTGATCATGAGGGATTTACTGTATTGTTTATGTGTATGTTGTGGTTGTCTTTTGTGTTTTTTTTTTTCCTTTTAGTTTTTTATTACTAGTCCAGTTGTTTCTGGTTCTAGTCTCCTGATACTTTCCGAGATCGGCAACTTTGGTCTTACGAAGGGCTCTCCACAGTTACAACGTTGGTTCACCTGATTCGGCTCGGTCCAAACTCGAGTGTTCGCCGGTACCTGCAAAAGCGCCGGAATTACTCCGGCGCAAGACCCTCTGACGCTCAAGTTAGGATCTCGAATTTAGAGAGAAATTGTAGGTAACAAAATGTGGCAATAGAAATGTTAATGAAGTCTCTCCTTTTAATCGCCGAACTCGACATATATATATAGTCTTTATATGTATGGTCTCTCTCTAAAGTTATAAGTCATTGGAGGCCTATCGACTGAGTGTGATTAGGTCGATATCCAGCCCCATGGGTCGACCCTATCGTCCGACCGATCGACCCCCTTCGTTTCTGGCCTTACTCTCGACCCTGAAGTCGGTCGAGCCCCTCACCTCGACCCAACATCCATGGGTCGAGGCCACTCGCACCCGCTCGTCAACAAAACTGGTCATGCCCCTCACCTATAAAATATTATCAACCTTTTAATTTCAAAAGTTTTCCTTATTTCATTTTAGTTCAGAACTCCTAGTACCACCGTTGTAATAAATGTAATATCATTCGTAAATTAAGCAATGCCTACTTCATATAGAAACAATATCTATTCTCTCAAGGCCTAAGTTCATTCTAGTACTTTAAATAGATCAATAAATACATGACCAACATACTTTTATAAAATTAAATAATTTTATAATCTCGTACCTTTGTTCTACTAAAATAACTGGGTGAGATGAGTTGCAACGCCACTAGTAGGAATGCACTGCCCATGGTTTGTTTTGCTAACGACTCCTCACCGTCCAACTTCAGTCGATCTCAGAAGATGAGCTACAAGTTATCCAATTCCTTCAATACCACTCAACAGTGCATTGGTTCGTTTTCTACTCCACGTGACTCGATTATGTAGATAAATGAAAATACTGAAAACATATTGTGAATCAAAAGCTTTTTTTTTTTCTTTTTTAAGTTCTCTTTGAGAACTTATCACATAAGTAATCCCTTTAAGAAAGAAGAAAACCTTTTAGCCTCCCATAATAGAGGCAAATAAGCGTGCACACATAAACATGCAGAGAGATTTTTTTTTGAACATATTTAAGTCGAAAAAGATTACAACTTATTTCACTCATAACTCACAATCTTATTACAAACTTTATTTACAAAATGACAAAATCGAATGAAATGCACGATGTCTTCTCTAGATCATCTCCTTCCGTATTTTCTATATTCTTAGGATTCGTACAATCCTACATATGCTAACCGTCCGCAGTCAACGTCGCTATCGGCTCGATAGATTGCCCTCTCAGCCTAGACATATTCATTTTGTACATTCTCGCTAATTGAGAACCCAAGCCGCCCAGTCCAAGTTGTCCACTCGACCTCCTGACATCTAGAAGCTTATGTCGACCAATCCGACCTATCACCATTAAGTCGAGCTAAGATAACCCGATCTAGATCAAGCTCTAAGAGTTACATTCTATAATCTACTCATAAATATAAATATATGAATAAAGGTGCAGGGATGGGAAGATTCTAGACGCCAAAAAAATGGAAAATAACAATGAAGAGTAGATAGAAAGTGGAAAGTTGTATAAAGCAAACGGAAAAACCTTACAAAATCCTGCGCTTTATTAAAATTATTACCCACGGAAAGGTACAGAAGTTCTTCCAGATCGCACAATAAAACTCCCAGATCGAAACCTTACTCCAAAGCCGCTTCAATTCTCAGATCTTCCCCATTTTCACCAGCAAGCTTCTCTGCATTTCATTCTCAGGATTAAATTTTGAATCGGTTTGTAATTGAAACACTCTTTCCGACAGCCGCCATCCTTTTCTTGATAGGTACTGTATCAGAACTAGCATGAGAATGGCCCACAAAAAGGAGGAGCTCAGGCTGGAACGGCGGAGCATAAGTGATGCCTTGCTATTGACGACGATGTGCATCATTGGGATGCCCGTCGACGTTCACGCCATTGATGGCTCTGTTTACTCTGGAACCCTCCACACCGCCTGGGTCGACAAGGAGTATGGTATTCTTGGTTTTCTGTTTTCTGATTCGTCTCTACTCCCCGATTGGATTAATTGATAGATCTTGCGAGGAATTTTGCGTTTCAATTTTTCTTTCCAATGTTTTTATGGCGACGTGTGATCCCCTTAATTTGGAACTAGTTTTATTAGTGTTCTTGATGTGGTTTTAAAGAATTGCTTGATTGGATGTTGAATGGAGATTAGATAATTTGTTGAGCTTCCAAAATTATTTGATTCCTGATATTTTCTTTAGGTGGTTATTTTTTTCTGTGATTGATAAATTTTGTGTGTTTGTCTTAGCCATCGTGTTGAAGAAAGCCACGATGATCAAGAAAGGGGACCTAGACGCAAATGTAGCGAACGGGACTTTGATAGAGACCCTTGTAGTTCGTTCAAAAGATCTTGTCCAAGTGGTTGTGAAGGCAGGTGGCCTGTGCTCTCCTTGTTAAAATTAGGTTTTTGCCTTTATCGTTATTGAGGTTTGGGAGAAGCAAATGTGCATTTAACCCATTTTCATGATTTACCTATTTCCAGGGAGTTGTGCTTCCTACTTATGCCGAAGTGTTAAAATCGAATGAGCCTGAAGAGAAGACTGAACAATTATATCAATTAAGGTAATATTGCTTTTGTTCCAATTTGTTCTAAATAAAAAAGTCAAAACTTACATAGGTGGGCACAACTAGATGTTTGTAATATGGTGAAAGTGATTTTTTATAGAACAAAATAATATAACAAAATTGCTTTGGTTAATGCATTTCTTTAGAGTTGGGACAAATAAACACTCTCCTTGATGGTGGTAAACTTGTGAATGTATTAATTTTTCAGTCTAATAGGAAGTATTTCCTTATAATTCTACAGCTAAAACAACAAAATTCTTGGACAGTTCTTCTAAAAATCACCACATCAAGTGGCTAGATGTAATAAACTTTTAAGGTGAAGTTCTGAGTATGTCCGCTAACGAAAAGATCTGCTACAATCTTTTGCTTTTATTGAATGGCAGGACATGCTCATGCTTTTTGTCGATCTCTGCTTATTCTATGGGTTGCATGTATTTATTTCCTTCCCATATCTGGATCTTGATGTCATCCTATTCATTGTTTCTCATCATTTTTTAATATGGATAGTTCCATTTCAGTTGCTTACAGTTTTACTAACGGTAACTCTTTGTAAAAACACAGACTATTTAATTTCAGTTTCAGCTGACTATTGACTACTTAACTGACAAAATTGATAGATAAATATATGAAGGTTGTAAAGTAATGATTTGGCTAGTAGCAGCTCATTTATACTTCGTAGAAAATGCTTCAAGATAAATACAGGCAACATACTTGGGATGAAGCAGTGGAACGTAAAGAATTTATAGTACAGATTTTTTTATTAGAACATTTCCAGAGGCCATAATTGGAAAGTTGAAGAGAAGAGCACATGGGAAAAAAAGTAACTAGCTTTATGAAAAATGATTGCAAAAGTAGTATCGACAACTTGGAGGGACACAAAAAAATCATTGTGAACAACTACAGAAAACCCAAAAAAAAAAATATTAAGGAGAAAGACGAGTTGCAAAATGTTATATGGTTACTCCACTAGGGATAAAGGCTTTATTGTTTCATTTGTTGATGAAGATGGAAGCATCAAATACACATAGTAATATGTTCTTCTGGCCAACGTATATTTTCTCGTTCATTTGCATGCTTTACTTTTACTGTAGCACTAAGTTATGGGTTGTTACCACTTTCATTCTTTCTGTTACTGTCCTTGTTATATGTTGTTCCTTTTTTTTTTTATACTTTCATATTGTTGGTAATTCATGTTTGTTGGCCCAAATAAGCTCCCGTCTCATTCACAACTATCTTGTAAAATTTGGTGACAGGCAGGTTGGAGATGGTTCGCAAGAAATACAGAGCGACGTCAACGATAACCTGGGGTTCCTGGACCAGCGAACTGTATGTTTGGTTAACATGTCGATTATCGGAGCAAATATTATCCTTACATATCATCTATTAATGTAATTTACTTATGCTGTTGTAGATGGATGAAGCTCAAGTCTCAAGTCCCAGTAGTGAGTTTCCGTCTTGCTTTGCCTTGAATAAGTTTGATAAACTGACACATCTATGGATAGCTTCCATTACCAACATGTCACTAGTACTGATTCTAGAGCATCTCTGTCTATGTTTTCAGAAGACATCCAGGCCATCCTTTTAAGTAGCTTCTGTTTGAAAATCCAGAGTTTTGTCAGTTTTACTCATATTATTATCATTTTTAGACTTTAATGGCCATCTTATTAATGAAGTCATGTTAGAGGCCAGACCTGTGCATGTCTATCTGAGCCCTGCACTTCCCTGTTATTTACCTTGGCCTGTATACATTATGTAATGTATACCCACCTTTTTGTTGCCCATTTTACATATAAATGACCAATTTCACATAAATAGTTCCCTGGTGCAATGATTGCATGATAATTTAACTAATTACAAGTTATTTATTTGAATTTTGCACTATATGAAGATACCAAACAGTATAGGATTTGACATAATGTCCAGAGTGGGGAACCAAACACATATTTATATTTCTCTGGGTGACTGTATAATGAAAACATTTTTCTTTCTGGTAATAATAGATGAGAAAAGACCTGGAAAGTGCCATTTATAAACATAAACAATCTTGTTTATGGGTCTGTGAGGTTGTTTTTTAGTAGTTTGTACTCCCAAAATGATACAATTTATACTTTGGCTCAGTTTTTCCATTTCTGAGGGTGGTATTCAGGTTTGTTTTAATTTCAATGTAGTCACCAGCTTTGTAGCTCAGTCAACTGATGCTCTGAATATTCCAGAGGGTACTGTTCAACATGAACCAACCGAAGTATCTTCTGGTCGTTCTAGTGCACACCTGGATGAGGATCAAGGGAGACTTACTCCAAATGAATCCGTATGTACAGTTATTTCCCCACCAGATATTTGTGATGCTTCAATTCCCACTCTCGAAGTCGAATCAGATTCACGACTCAGGGCATCATCAGATCCCTTCATGTGGGTGCCTCCAAGAAGTTCGAGTGTTAAGAAAACTACAAAGGTATTGGGGATGCTTTTCAGTTTTTTGAACAACGAAGATCATGAAAATAGTTGCCTATATTATTTTTATGTTAACTGGACTTCAAGCTGCTTTTGTTTTTGGAAATCTTATCGTTCTTTTTTCTGTCTTTATTTTTACTTCCATTTTATTTTCGTCTTTGGTGGAGTTCAGTATAGTGTAGTGCTGTCTGGGGTTCTGTTCTCTGGAGTATAATAGCATTTATTGGATATATATATATATATATATATATATATATATATATATACACACTTTTGGATTTGATTGCATTTATTGGATAAAATGAGTTAATTTTGAGAAAAGTTGATTGAGTGGAAATTTGAGTGGGATTTTGAGTTTGTGTTGGTGTGGTGTAAAATTAGGAGTGATGTTATTGATAATGATTCGAACTATGTGAATGAATGAATAGTGAATTAAAGTTGATGTGATGTGTGACAATGATTGATTTCTATTATTTAATTATTTTGATAATATTGAGGAGAGTTAAGTTGGATTTTGAGTTAAAAAGTTGTAAAAAATTATTTGGCCGGTTAAAACCGATTACATTTGTATCTAATCGCACATTTGTATCTAATCGCTCAATTTGACATGGAATCATATTCTATTTTCTGCAAGCTGTCATGATAGTCATTTTAGTTCTTAAGTTGTATAGCTTTATTATTATATTTTATAGGAATCTAAGCTGAATCATGGAGCTCAGAGATTTTACCCATCAATGTTGTACCATAGAATGGTGGAACCACATGTGCGCCCCAATGGGACAGGTGTTCCCTACAGGCCTGGTGCTTGCGCATTAGCATCAAGGGGACATGTCACCCTTGCGCATGGAGACAACAATACACCATATTTTCAACCTGTAAGCATTTGTAATTTTTGTACTTAAATTCCCAACTTAGATTTCTTGAGAATGTGACGATAGTTGACTAAAATTTAAGGAAAACTTGCTGCTGCAATTTTTGTAACTTGTAAGATTTGGTGTCGCCTCACACAAGATGTACTGTGCAGATTATTGGACAAGTGGTGAACAGAGTGCAACCACCTGTTATATGTACTGGTCAATATCAGAATTTTCAAACGGGGCCTGCTTATGTTCATCCAAATCCACACAATGTAATCTCAGATACTTAAGATTTTTATTTCTCAAATGTCAATGTATTACCTGTATAAATTGTTTTTGTTCAAGGCTCACCTGAAAAATATATTGATAATTCAGGTTATGTTTGGACGAGGTGGGGGCCCTCTTGTTTATACGAATCCCATCCCCAATGTAAGATTGTCACTGTATATCTCACTTTACTTTTCATGATTAAAAATGTGTTTGATATTATATTTGTTAATATTCATTTAAGAATTATAGAGTTCAAATGCCCCTATGGGCATCATGAGTACAGCAAGGTGGTTTATTTTACTTTGGGTAAATGTGTTGTAAAAAACCTTCGTTGAGAGTTGATGCAGTTAGAACTTTTGTTTTCTTCTTTTCTTGATTTTTCATTCTTTCTCATCTCTGGGTGAAACTTCACTTTCTTTTCTTTTTTTTTT